GGAATCCTTTTTTCATTATTTTTTCAAATAGATTTCCAATTTCTTACTCTTTGTCTTCTCCTTCTGGTACCCCTATGATGCAAATGTTAGAATACCTGAAGTTGTCCCAGAGGCTCCTTACACTATCCTCATTTTTTTGGATTCTTGTTTCTTCTTATTCTGATTGGTTGTTTTCTGCTACTTTATGTTCTAAATCACTGATTTGATTCTCAGCTTCATTCACTCTATTCTTGTTTCCCTGTAAATTGTTCTTTATTTCAATCAGTGAATCCTTCATTTCTGACTGGATATTTTTTATGCTTTTGAGGTCTTCACTAAGTTCCTTGAGCATCCCTATAACCAGTGTTTTGAACTCTGCATCTGGATTATTGTTTATCTCCAGTTTGTTTAGTTCTTTTTCTGGAGTTTTTATTTGTTCTTTTATTTGAGCCATGTTTCTTTGTCTCCTCACTTTGGCAGCCTCCCTGTGTTTGTTTCTATGTATTGGGTAGAGTTGCTATGACTCCCTGTGTTGGTAGTGTGGCCTAACATAGTAGGCATCCTGTAGAGTCCTATGGCTCAGCCTCCCTTTCCACCCAAGCAAGTGCTCTTGGTGCACCTTCTGTGTGGGCTAAGTACACCCTCTTCATGTAGTTGAGCCTTGACTGCAGTTGACAGGTCAGTGGGAGGGACTGACCCAGGTCAGTCAGCTGCAAGGACTGGTTGTGACCACTGACCACCAACCTCCACTCTCTGTGGAGGATCAGCTGTGCAGGAGTTGGGTGGTAGTGCCCCAAAGTGGTCTGTAGTTGTCCACTGGGTATGCAGGCTCCAGAGTTTCCCAGGTAGTATAGACTAGGGTCAGCTTCCACCTGTGTTCTGCCCAGGGCTGCCCAGCATGAGCTACCAAGCAATCTGCAGATAACTGCTACTTGTCCTAGGCTTGGAGGCTCCCAGGCAAAGTCAAACCATGATTTAAAGCTGGCTGATGCTGTTGCCAGTCATAGGGTTTGTTAGTCAGAGGTATTTGGGCTGGCAGTCCACTGACATTGGCTATTGTTTGTTTGAGAAGATTTAGGAAGATATGAAGCCTGAGCTGAGGCCAGCCATTCATATAGAAAAGCCCCTGTTAAAAGCTTGGGTGGGGCTGTAAGTTGGGTGGGGTGGAGCCTCAGGGACTCATCAGGGTAAAGCTAACCATGTTAGCCAGGTTGATGGAGTCTCAGATTATGGTCCCTGCCTGCCAGCTCTGTGACTAAGAAAAGGAACAATGGCTTCTGCCCTCCTTTCTGTCTTGAAGAAAGCTATCCCCTAGGTCTTGCCGTGATGCCAGACACTTCAGTTCCTCCCTGCATGCCAATGGTGCCTTTCAAGTGGCCACCCCAGTGCTGGAGCTCAGAGGGAATGAGTCTGCATAAGTCTATGAGTAGCTGTTTTAAAAGGATTCCAGTAGTTGCTTTCATCAACTCGGACCCCACTGGTTTTTATAGCCAGAAGTTATGGGGACTTATTCTGCTGGCAAAGGAACCCTGGGCTAGGGTCCTGGTGTTAGGCTGGGACTTCTCACTCCCAAGATAGACCCCTCCTGAATTTTTATCCACCACATGTGGGTGTGGGATCAGCCCATCCTGCGTCTCCCTGTTTTTTGCCTGGATGGATGTGGTTTCTTTAGTTCTGTAGTTATTAGACTTTCATTCAGCTTGATTTCTGACAGTTCTGGGTAATGGTTGTTCTATAGTTTAGCTGTAATTTTGATGTGATTGTACGAGGAGGTGAGCCATGTTTACCTATGCCTCCATCTTGCCTTGAAGTCCAAATACAACAAAGTTTTAAGTAGACAAATTCCAGAATGATTTGGCTATTCTGGCTCACAATCACTTTCAGAATGGTGTGTAGGCCCTGGTCTAATACTACAATACTTGACAGTGGTTCTCAGTTTGAAGTGATTCTGTCCCTCAGAGTACATTTGGAGATGTCTGAAGACACTTTTGGTTGTCACAGCTGGGGAGGTGCTACTGGCATTGTGGATAGAGGCTATGTGTGCTGCTAAACATCCTACTACTCACAGGACAAAAAAAATTATGCAGCCCACAATGTCTATAGTGCCAAGGTTGAGAAATCCTGTATAGATAATTAAAATAAGGTGACATTATATCTCTTGTCCTTATGTGTAAATAAGATCAAGAGTGAGAGTTCGAAAAACCTTTCATGTCCCAGGTTTATGTCAAGTTCTGGACACTTTGCAAATCTCCCAAGCACACCACTGTCATCTTCAGCTGATTTAAGAGAAGAACGTGATTCCGCAAATGGCAATGGAGACAGGGAGGGTTTAAAGTTGATATGCACTTAATCCTCAGCAAAAGTGCTCATGTCTCAAGTAGCAGTGTGTGAGTGTGCAAGACTACCAGCATTTTCAGTCTACGATGGTCTTAGGTCTTCTGACAACTTCAATGAAGTTAAGTAAAAGTATTATGTATTTAGGCAGTTTTAAACTACTTTTTATCTCTAATTTCTAGGATCTAAAATTTAATAACAAGGGTTGCACTGAAAGCAAAGGAGTTAAGGGACTATATGCAAACTCCCATCCCTGCTTTCCCTGCTCCCTGCCCTCTCCATTTTCATACTTGGCAGACTGTTCATTCATTGATGGAGTTAAACAAACCAAAGAGCACACTGTAAATGCAGAAGGGATATTTTGGTACACTGAATTTCTTAGTAATAATAACAAAAAGAAAAAAGCACAAACATTATAAAGAAGTACAGAGAGGAATAGTGAAACCGTCTGCAAAGTCATGTCAACATCAAAATATTATTTTCCTGTGACAAGGCGCTTAGGTGCATGAGCAGATGACAATCAGTCTAGAAGGCCTATGAAAGGACACTGTAACCTAGCAAGGGAACCACTGCTAGGATGAAACTCAGCTGCTGAAACTTTAATGCATGTAAAGATCCATTAAGTAGAAAGGCAAGTAGAAATGCTTAGTTTCTTGTAGCAAGGGAATCTAGAAATCACCATCAGAGTAAGAAAATCATTGCATGCTACTTCTTGGTTCCTTAAGACTTTGATGAGCCTCAAGTCTTAAAGAATTTCATAAATTAAAAATAGAAATAAACTTTTCTTGTTTCTTACTGTGCACTTGCAGTTCTAGGTGGGAATTAACTATAGGATTTCTCCATCTTTCTCAGTCTTAAACTACAATGTGGCTTCCTTTAGGGTAGGTTGAAATGGAAATACATAAAGGAGCAATTAAAACAAAAATTTTCAAAAATATACACAAAAAATATCCATCATTAACACAGTGAGATATAATGCCTCCCAGACAATTTTTGGTTAATTAATAGTTCAAGAAAGAAATCTAAGTATTGCCAGGTTATTTGCTAGCCAAAGACAGATAAGTCAAGGACATTATCAAATACAACATAATGGAATTCAACAAGTGACCTACTTTAAACAGTTCACAAAAAAACACTTGTATGAAAGGTCAAAGAGAAGTACTATTTCAGCATTACAGACTTCTTCTGGGTTAAAGAATGACAGTAAAATTAACTACATGTGTGCGGTTGCTAGAATTATTCTAGAAGATTCCCTTTCCTTATATTATAAATAATACATTTTCCCAGGGAAAAAGGGGCATATATGATAGGTAGGTTTTCTGATAGACCCCCAAAGTTCACATGGCTGGAAGTTTTTCAGTGCTTGGTTTTCCTGACTTATAAAATCAGGAACTTGCTTAAATCTCTAAGGTATTGTCTGGCTCTGACATCTGGTTTTCAAACTCTGATTTTAATAGGACTTCACAAATTCACATTGATTCTGTAGAAATATTTTAAAATAATAACAAAAAACACATTTTCTTTTTATCTCCACAGTATTCCTAGTTTAAAGTTTCAATGAGATACTGTGGGGGTCACAGGCATAGGTAGAGGGGTATATTACATAAATACAAAACAAATTATGTTTAATGTTCATGTTAATGTAGGCTTGTGTCTAAGACAGAGAAAAGATATTAGTGAATTCATAAACTAAAATCCAATTATTTTTTTCAAAATTTTAAGGCCTATTTATTTTTCAAATTAAACTACAATTCATTAAAATGAGGCAACTCTTGATGAGAAGTCTCATTCTAAGTACTAATCAGCCGGAAAATATACCCCTGCTTGGAATTTAATTTTGCTTTATTTGCAATTCATACTTAAGGAAGTTCGCTGAGTATTTGTTTTGGCAAGTGTGTGCCCAAATTTCTGCCCAGATGCTGATGTTTGATGAATAGTTAGGACAATGAAATATATGTCAGTTTAATGATTTTTGAAAACTAACTGCCAGGTTTTTTTTAAGGCATTTTTATTCTACCATATATAATAAAGCAAAACATTTTTTTCTCAAAATAACATTTCCTATTTTTATTATAAATGAATTCAGTGATGCACTGCTGACGAATTTCTACGCCACAGCCTGCTACCCCGGACTGTCACATAACCAATTTATTCTTCGCATTTTAAACTACAAATCTCGCTGGAGGTATCCATTCCCTGGAGCACATCCACATGATCTCATGTCACATTTCTCAAGCTGCTGAGTCGCAAGTACTCTCCTTAAGGCCAAAGCAATCTTTAGTTCCCCAGAATGATAAGCACTTAAAAAATTACAATCATGCCTCTCTACAGCATTAGAGGGGTTTGGATCTGCTCCACGGAATTCCTTTCCTCTCAACAGAAGAGCACTTCCAATTACCGGCACTTGAGAATATCTAAATCTTCTTTCATTTAAAATTCAACTGTGCAGAAAGTTGTGAAAGTGGTTCAGCACACAGTACCAATGACGACCTCAAATTTACTGTGTTGAAACCACCCTTTAGCAGATAGCTCCTCAAATAATATTCTTCTAGAAATTCTAAAATGTACATAATAAATCTCTTATTTAAGAATAAAATTAAGTATTTTAAGATTAAGTAAAAAAAAAAAAAAAAGATGCAATTAGAACCTAACTGACCAACAGGTTTTCCACATTAGCGCACACTCACCTCTCCCGAGGGACAGCAAACCAGTACTCCGGCTGCTTCCTCCGCTTGCCGTACTGCTGGGCCATGGCTGCAGTGTGCGTGGCAAAGGATTTCCTCATTGGTTTTCCAACTTTAATGCACAGAAACATGGGTGGAGTCTTGCTTTTCTCTTCTTTTGAAGGAAGTATATCTGAATCACATACGCAAAATATCCTCAGTAGTGACAATATTAGTGACAGTAAAACCTTTCAACTTACAAAGAATAATATTTAATCTCCTCTTAGGGATGAGAAGTCAAAACATATGGCAGAAACATCATATGCCATCGTCACATTTGGACTAATTAAACTTTTCAGACCTTCTGGAGCACAAAAGGAGAAAGCTTGGGACGTTCCAGGTTGGTCCACATCATGTAAGATGCTATGTACCGAGAATAAGCATAAAAACCAGAAAACACCAAACAGTGGGGAATTGTGACAAGCCACAAGTATACATATATGAATGAGTGATACTGAGGACCCAATCACACCATAATACAACAATTTAGAACTGAAATATCTTCAAAAAATATTTGAAAGTCCTTTAGATTTAGAAATTCAAGGTAAAAAAATGGAAAAGTAAAAGATTCAAATAAGCAAACTTAAACTGAAATCTATGTTATGCTTAAAGTTTCAAATTAGATACCATATATTGCTAGTATTTTCCATTTATTGATGTAAAGCCATGTTCTATTGAGAATACACTGCTCTCAAATGATTGCCTTAGTTGTGCTACTACTGCATTTGCATGTTCAAGAAAGCCAACTATATAACAGGATATAAAGACATTAAAGCAAAGTGGCTTACCTTCAATGGGTACCTGAATTCTCTTTAACAGCCATAACTGGATTTCAGATTTATTATCCACTTGTGCGCCTTGGCAGCTATTGTCCAGAGTAGATTCCAAAGAGTTGCCTAGAGACTCTTTACTCATATTTTCTTCAGTAGAAGAGCCCAGCTGCAGTGGATGGGGTGCCTTCTCTCTCACCCAGTTTTTATCTGGGTCTTTATTGCCCTCAGCTGGGGGCTCCCCAGCCTGAGGGAGAGAACTACTAAGGGTGATGTCTATTCCCCCTGGCTCCATACTTTTGCCATCACTTAATTCTGCCTTCTGCAAGTTATCAGATACCTGTGACCCTTCTTTGTTCTTATTAAGATAGTATTCAATAAGTTTAACTTTATCTAGATCCTCATGTATGCTCAGTGTGCTTTCCATCTGGCTTTCTGGAGAACCAGACTGCTTGTCCACCTCCGGGGCTTTATCTTGCTTCTCACAGGTTTCCAAGTCTAGGGCCCCCTTCAGTTCGGCATCACTCTCTATTCTTGAGAAGTTCAGGGCTGACTGCTCCTGCATTTCCATAGCAGAACTGATTATTTGGGACTTAGCCTTCCTTTGCTCCTCTGGGTCAAGAGAAAGGCACTCCTTTGAGATGTCTCTTTTGTCCATTCCACTATCATTTTGAGAAGGAAGTTCTTCCAAGTCAGTGAAGTCATCTTCTCCTCCTAAAAGAGGATTTTCTTTGGCTATAGATTTAAATGCAGTGTGAGTGTCAGGAGGTCCCTTGCTGACCTCAGGTACTGTGGCAGACCCACTGGTTGCCTCCACAGAGGATTCCATGTTCTTCAACTTTCCTGACAGCAAACTGTCTAATGGCTTTTTATGTGTGTGTTCTGTTGATTTCTCCAAAGGTCTTGTTGATTTGGAATCTGAAGTGATAGCTCTCTCTTCACTCTGCTGACGTTTGTCCTTGCTGAGAGATTTGAACTTACTAAACGGGTTGATATCCTTTTCTGAAGCCAGGTCTTCCCATTCTCCAGGCCTGTACAGAGGACAAAGATCCTGAGGTAGGTCACTGTTGAGGGAAAAATGGTGGGTGCACATGGAATGTTAAAAACAAAACCAAAAACAAAATGGAGGAAAAGCAAAAACCAAAACAAAACCCAGCCAAAAACCAAAACATAAATATACCACAACTTAAATTAATGTTTAAATGATTTCAGAGTAAAAAAACAAAATTAAAAAAATTAACTTCAAAATGAAACATAAATCAACTAAAAGGAGTGGCAAAACAAAGAACCATGAAAGTTGCACATCCTGCTAGAAGACATGAACGGTGTTTGAAGTCATTTATGAACATGGAGATGTCACGACCAGCTTTTAATGATGAAATGATGTTTCTGATTTTCATGAAGGACAAAGGAGAGGAAATGACTTAGTACTATGACTAACATTCCTTAATATGAAAAGTTTTTCTTTTTTATAATATAGTACATAAACCAGCTACATTAAATCTGAACGGCTCATTGATTGAGTAGCCACACATTTAACTGTTTTATAAAGTGACTGGCCCTGAACCCTGTTTCAGGTTTCATAATCTAATTAGGATCTAATGCTTCTGATAACAGACATCCTTCTATTCCCAAGGGAGCAAGAAGAAGCTTCCACTATTATTATAGATATATATTACCTGTTCCATTTTATAACTTAAAAATTCATAGAGATGTAAATCAAAGAAGCTCTTATAATACTTAATTTAAATTTCTTAACTCTTTCACATGATAATAGTATCATTTTACTTTACAGCAATGGGCAACTGGTTTTATCAGCTGAAATTTACTGTTCTGGGCTGCGGTCAATTCATTTTTCCTTACTAGCCAGGCTTGAGTTATTAAAAAAAAATATTGATTAAACATGTTCTCCAAACTTCAAGATAAATGGTCAAAAACCAGACATTTTAAACTATGACTGGAAATGTCATGAGTAACCCCTGTTTTCACTTACCTTAACATTTACACTGGGTTAAAACACAGAGATATAAAACCTTTTTAAAAATAACATTTTCAGATTTCAGAAATATTTTTATTTTCTGAAAAGTCTAGATCATAGTAAGGTAATACTTTATGAGGACCAGGAAGTTCTCAAGTTACAAGACTGTCTCACCAGTTATTTTATAAATCACTTGCATGGAACATCCATGTTTTTTCCAATAGAAAACAAAAGCCTACATAATTGTTAGGCTCTGACAAATGCTTTAAAAAGCCTCTTTACTTCATAATTCACTTCAGTTCAATAAGCACTCATTGAGCTCCTAAATATCATATGCTAAAAAGTATTGTGGCAGTGTCTCTGTTCCGCAGGAACCTGTGCACACAGAAGTGTGATGCCCAACACAGAAGTGGCACTCAGGTGTTAGAGATGCTTCAATCCTCGAGTCCAATGAATTAGTGTAATGTGGCATGATTTCCATTTTAGGATCCAAAATTTAATTAGGCATATTAAGGGCTATAAGAAGTCCTGCAACAAAGAAACCTAGCTCTTTACACATTTGGTTAATAAGCAAAACTTTCCTCGATAAACATTCAAAGCCCTTTCTCATCGCTTCCTTATCTACTTAGCTAGACCCTCAGAAAGAATACATTTGCACTCTAAGCAGCCTCCTGTATTACCTTCTTGTCTACCCCTCCCTTCTTGTTTTTCTTTCTAATCCAAGCTGAAATTAATTTAGTCATCCACTTTTCCTTCACTGCAGCTGCCAAGCACCACTGGGGCAAAGTACATAGTTGTGTCAACCGACTCTGCTGTTGATGAATGTTTTCTAGACCGAGCCAGGCACCTAATGAAGATCAATAATCCTTTCAGTTGTTCCCTTCCTATTTTCTGTGGCAGCTGGAGTTACAAAATGTCCTACACAAAAAATACAAAGCCTGAAGGTGAGGATGGAGAGATTTTACACACACACACACACACACACACGCACACACATGCACACACATGCACATTTGCACATTGCAGCTAGATAGTTTATAGTTCTTGTTTTACCATACAATTTTTAGTAATAATAAAATTTTAACCTACTTTAAACTTTTAAACAAGTGATGGAATTCTGAGGTCAGTAATACTAAGTTCATTTCCCACTGGATTGCACTCATACAATCTATTTCACTCACTGGCGCATATGTTGTGCATTAGACTGAAAAGTCTTTATATACCTGCATCAAGGGCAGGGATCAGTGCACAACTCTGAAATAATTTCAACACATTACCAGCCAGTTCTCAACTCTTCTGTCTCTCTGAGCTATGTCATTAGCCCTGTATCCTGGATCATTAAACACAATCTCACAATGAGAGAAATCTTTCTGTAAAGATTACCTTCCCTTTCTATGATTAAAAAAAAATACTTAACATCCTAAGCTGAAGATGTGCAATAGTATTATCCCATTAGAAGTTATCGCTAGGTAAGAAATGCCCTTATTTGCCTGACCACACACTGCTACCCTCAACTATATCTTTACCTATTATCTTCTTTCCTCTTTTCACAGAGAACACAATGTTCATTCTTTCTTTCCAAAACTAATTCCTTACTGCCTCTTCTTTGCCTCTGTCTAAGATTCCAAGTCAGTAGGACACTCCTTAACATGGTTCTCATGGAATGCTGTGGACACTTCTATGTGTACAGTGCCTTTGAATGACTTCTCTCCCCCGGTCTATTGTACCCAGTAGACTGCAGGTTCCTCAGGGGTAGGGCCCATGACCCACTCATCTTCACGGACTAAGATGCATGAGAAGCCTCGATCTACAAGGATAACAAGACTTACACTGCACAATGAACAGAGCTTCAGATATGAATTAAGGGTTCTCACAATAACAGCCTACCCTTATTAGGTATCAGGCTATTTTCTAAGAGTTTTGGTACATCAATGCACTTAGTTCTTACAACAGCTCTATATAAGCTGAAAAATACTATTAGCTCCATTTTATAATGAGAAAACTGAGGCTTGAGATGAACTCATGCAGGTCATGAAGCCAAAAGTGGCAGAGCTGGGGAAACCTATGAAGTGTGGCCCCAGGCCTAATCATTCTGCAGGGTCGCCTCCTAAACCTCGTACTTCCAGCAGAATTTAGAAAGGACGTCAGTGCCCATGTTTGGTGGTAGCTTCAATGGCTTGGAGTTGGGTAAGGGCCAAGTAGGTCAGACACCAAGGACTTTAATAAAAGTCCAGGGGAACCTTCAAGCACAAACCCCTAGGAACTCTGTGTCTGGGTTAATTCCCTAGTTACTTTCCCTTCTCCTCGTGAGTCCAGGTTCCCATTGCACAATTAGGATTCACAGCTTTGCCTCACTACCTTCCTATCACTAAGGGTTTCTAAAGATTTACTGCTACTATATATTTATAGAAACAGATACATTGACAAAATGACAGTAAGAATTAGATTATTCCTACAAGTGAATCGATTCCCTGAGTTTCCTTAACCCTCTTTCTCTTTCTTCATGGGGAGATTCCTTTAAGAACAACAACAACAACTAACTACCTCTCAGTTTTATAAGGCAAAACTAATCAGGACTGAAGTAACTGAAGTAACATTCATCCACATTTCAGAGACAAAACAAACTAGTACAACGCCACTTCAAACCACTTGAGGTAGCCTGGCTACAGGGACAATGCTGCTCCCCAGTCCTCCGCAGGACTGAGGGGAGACATGAGTTGGAAAGACCGCCTGTCCCGAAATTTGAATAAAGAACATCACTGCTTAACAATTAAACAGAGAGGAAAACAGTAAAATTCCTTCAGAAAAACTCCATTTCTTCTTTCATAAATCCATTAAGAAACATGTGTTGCTTTTCAGAAAAATAAGTCAAACAAATACCGTTTCTGTATGCTGGCTCGTTTGCTTCTTTCATTTTTGAATGTTCAACCCTTCCCTACCACTGACTTTATCATTTCCATTTCCTCTTATTTTTCAACTTTTTTAACTTAAGTTCACAAATCTCCCACCTTGAAATTCACCCCCACACAATCCCTTGCTTCTGGCCAAAGCTCTCGCTTTTTAATAGCATTTAATTCTCCCAAGGACTGTCCTCCCCTCAACTCCCGCTTGATAAACAAGAAATGTCTCTTACGATGGCAAGGCATCTTTGATCTTCATGTGGGAAATGTCATTGTAGAGGGCAATGGAAACCACCTCTTCCATGGGGCAGATGAGGCCGTACTCCTCACACCCGTTTTCAATGACCAGGGGGTCAGACTTGTGAGGGTCAAACATGATGTTGTTAGGAGTGACAATCATGACACCTCCGACCACACCCTGTAGGACAAATGGACAAGGCAGAATTACTACGGGCAGAGTGTAAACCCCACAGGAGCTTTAATGAACTTGTGCTGCCATTCCACTGACGTTGGTGACCCACAGTATCCCCACATGACAATCACATCCCCTTTAAGAGGGCTGGAAAAATAAGCTGAAGAAACGCGGTGTTGGGTGCTGTGTGGTGAGGCAGAGAAAACAGACTGGACTCACTGTGCAACCAACCAAGCCTGGTTCTAGCACAGCCGCTACAATAGCATGATTGTGCTGGGATCCTGGATGACGCATAGGAGTCTCGGATTCCCCAATTCCTGCCTGTAAAATGAGAGGGCTGCCCCAGATGCTTCTCTGATAGAGATCCAGGTGCTTTGCAGTTCACTCAGCGCATCTTCACCACGTGACCAATGGGATGGGACTGCGCTAAGGGAGCAGCTGTCTCCGAGTCGTGGTGCCAATGAACGATCCTAACATTTCTCTCTAAAGTGTTTAGAGAGCCCATATCCAGGAAAATTTGACACAAATAGGAATATAAAAATGTTGCATAAGTGAACATAGCTGAACTATGAAAATTAAAAGCAAAAACCAGCAGTTTGGTGGGGACTTACAAGTCTAAAGCTTGGTCAGTTTGTGTTACAGACCTTCATGGCCACAAGGATATTGTCTACCAGAAAGAGCAGGATACAGATGGCTCCATTTAGATCGATGCTTTATTCTGTACTTTTAATGACTTCACTGATAATCTTTGTAAAAAGTTTTCCATATCAAGCATTACTTGTTCTTGACTGAAAAAGTTATGTCAGTATCAATCATGCATTTTCCTTTTGTTTTTGGAACTTGCCATAAAGTCTGTACTATGAGAACAGGAATTCACTCTATATCAACATAACTCCTTCCTCAGAGGCTTGCTAAAAGTTGGATTTGTTCTTTGTAAAAAACACGAAACACATAAATAACAGCACACATTTTAATACCAGCATCATCAGCAGCAAAAGGGTCAAGAACTCACCATTTTCCAGGTTAGGTCTTACTCTGTTTACATGAATTTTCCCCTTTAATTACAATACCCTACTAGTTAAATTTTATTACTGTTCCTATGTTACAGATGAGGAAAATGAAAGCTTAGGGAATTTAAATACCTTGCCCATGGTCTCAGAGCTATGGGTAGCAGGTTTGGAATTTAAATTCAGCAAGTCTGACTCTAGCATTTGTGTTAAACATATACTGCACCGTCTCCCTAACAATTTATAGGCCAAGAAGTGAAAATGATAAATCTAGGGTCAAAAAGCAGCCTATTTCCACTCAATGATCACAATTCTCCTCAATTAAGTAAAACACCAGGCATTTAACTGGGGAAAACTAAGGGACACTTGGGGAGTCTTATGCTGAAACTTTGGGGAAAATAATTTAATATGGCCTGCCTTCAGTAATTTGAGACCTACTTTAGTTTTCCATAGATTTCATGAAAAGAAAACAAGTTACACTGCCATAATACCTTTCCATCGGTGAAGTATCGGCAGTTCATTTTTAAAAATTTCACCACCCCTGGCTCGTCTTCTTCAGAAGTAGATGACAGGACTCTTTCAATGGGTTTTATGGCCTTTCTTGCTAAGTCAGCATCCTTTAGAAAGCAAAAATTTCCAAAATCAAAAGGAAGCAATTTTTCAAAACAGATTATTTATATAAATCAAGCCACAGAGTTCCCTGTAAGTAACCTGTTTCTATTGATCTTAAACATAAATAAGACAAATGTCTTTTGTCATTCAAAAATATCACATATCTAAAAATAAGTATCTAAATCAAACTGAAATTTTTTAAAAAGTGCATATGTATGAACCCCCCAAAATGGCTCACCAAATGGCTTCAGCAAATAATCTAAATAAATGAATTCACATTTGACTCACGGTTCAATTTCTTTAGAAAAAGGAATAAAAGTAGTACAAATAAACTACCAGTCTCAGTGAGAGTTTAACTTCATACTTTTATATAAACAAGGCATGTGTTTTTGCCTTTAAGACCTTAAAGATGAACAGGTTTCTTTTGGATAAAATGCGTTCTCTCAGCTAACAACAAATTACACTTAACTCCACTCTCCTGGAGAGATTTTAAGATGAAATCTTGTGAAACAGAACATGTAGAATTCTATAACAAAATATATTCTATAAGTTCATATGTAAATGTAAACTACAGTACATAAAAGACATACATACAGGGAGTTTATCATATTCTGCATCTGATGATGAAGGAGAGACAGTAGCACCAGGACTGGATGATGATAATCTGAAGGTACTAGAAGGAAAGTTGGCATCTGGCACAAAAAGTACCTGAGAATGGGAAAGAAAAGCCAGCTGAGTACCAAGAATCAGGCAAATCCTAGCTAATGTTCAGAGCAGTTACTCTCTGCATGGTATCATTTTGGTGCATGACGAAGACTAGCTGGATTTCACAGAACTCAAGCAACATGAGGTCTTCTAGAATAGCTCACGAAACAATACGCAGCAATACGATCGTGTGCAATGCAAAGGATACCGAACACACCTGTAGACGCTGCAGAAGCTCAGAAAAGTGGGGAGTAAGTGGGTGAGTATTCTGCACAGGCCCTGTGAGGCAGGTGGGTCCAATGAAGCCTTGAGGAGGACAGTCTATAGCATTTGGATAGGGGAAAGAGCCTTCCAGGGAAGGGTACTGACAGCAGAGGAAAGAGGAGAAAGAAGCATGGCATTTTTCTAAATAGAACACCTGCATCAAGAAGAAATGAAACAAATCCAGGTTTGCTAACTCCAAGCAGGCCCTGAGTGATAATGTACTAAGGTCCTTATATTATCAACTATACAATGTGATATCGATAATCTGAATACTTTCTCTTCCATCACTCTCTGGGTTTCCTAAAAACAAAACTAAAAATCCCCAAAGATAGTACAAAATAACCTCCTTCTGCAAAATATTCTAGTTCCTGAAATGATATCATGATCTTGCTATTAAACACTCTTTTAATGAAACATGCTACCTTTTGGCATATATCAAATACAAGCATACAATATTAAAATGATGACCTTTAATGCCATAAAACAGTTCAGAGCTAATAATATAATACCTGTTCAATAGTGTTATTCACTCTCTCCCACCTCTCCAGTCACATCTATTTTTTTAAGTATATTTTATTGATTAGGCTGTTACAGTGGTCCCCATTTTTTTCCCTTTGCCCCCTTCCACTCAGTGCTCCCCTCCTCTCCAGAAATCCCCCCACCCCCTTAGTTCATGTCCATGGGTCATGCGTGTAAGTTCTTTGGCTTCTCCCTTCCCTACACTGTTCTTAACATCCCCGTTTATTTTGTTCCTAACAATTACACTTCTCAATCCCTGCGCCATCCCGCGTTCGGCCCCTTCCTTCTCCCAGCTGGTAATGCTCCAAGTGATCCCCATGCCTGTGATTCTGTTCCTGTTCCAGTTGTTTGCTTAGTTTGTTTTTGTTTTGTTTTTATTTTTTAGATTCAGTTGTTGATACTTGTTGAGTTTGTTGTCATTTTCATGTTTATGGTTTTGATCTTCTTTTCCTTAAATAAGTCCCTTTAACATTTCATGTAATAATGGTTTGGTGATGATGACCTCCTTTATCTGGGATGCACTTTATCTGCCCTTCCATTCTAAATGATAGCTTTGCTCCATAGAGCAATTTTGGTTGTAGATCATTGCTTTTCTCCACTATGAATACTTATAGCTAGTCCCTTCCTGCCAAGTTTTGTTTGTTTGTTTGTTTGTTTTTTGAGAAATCAGCTGACAGTCTTATGGGAACTCTGTCATAGGTAACTAACTGTATTTCTCACTGCCTGTAAGATTCTCTCTTTACATTTAACTGTTGGCATTTTAATTATGATGTGTCTTGGAGTGGGCTTCTTTGCATCCATCATGTTTAGGACTCTCTGTGCTTCTGTGACTTGTATGTTTATTTCCTTCACCAAATTAGGGAAGTTTTCTTTCACTATTTTTTCAAAGAGATTTCTAATATCTTGCTTTTTCTCTTCTCCTTCTGGCACCTCTATCATGCAAATGTAGGAATGCTTGAAGTTGTCCTAGAGGCTCCTTAAACTATCCTCATGTTTTTGGATTCTTGTTTCTTCTTCTTGTTCTGATTGGTTGTTTTTTGCTTCCTTGTACTCCAAATCATTGATTTGATTCTTGGCTTCATCCACTCTACTTTCGTTTCCCTATAAATTGTTCTTTATTTCAATTACTGTAGCCTTCGTTTCTCACTAGATCTTTTTTATACTGTTGAGGTCCTCACGAAGTTCCTTGAGCATCTTTATAGCCAATGTTTTGAACTCTGCATCTGATAGATTGCTTATCTCCATTTTGTTTAGTTCTTTTTCTGGAGTTTTGATCTGTTCGTTCACTTGAGCCATGTTTCTTTGTCTCCTCATTTTGGCAGTCTCCCTGTGTTTGTTTCTATGTATTAGGTAGAGCTGCTATGACTCGGTGCCTTGGTAGTGTGGCCTAATGTAACTGGTGTCCTGTAGGGTCAAGGGGCACAGCCTCCCCTATCACTCAAGCTGGGTATTCGAGTAATCCCCTATCATTTCAAGTGGGTTGAGTACACCCTCCTCCTATAGTTGAGCTTTGATTGCTGTTGGCAGGGAAATGAGAGGAATTTACCCAGGCCAGTCAGCTGCGAGGATTGGCTGTGACCACTTACCACCAACCTCCGTCTTCTGTGGAAGATCAGCTGTGCAGGGGGAGGGTGGTAGTGCTCCCACATGGTCTGTAGTTGTCCCCTGGGTGTAGTGGGCCTGGGGCTTCCTGGGTTGTTCAGATCAAGGTCAGCCCCGATTACTGTTTTGCCCAGGCTGCCCTTCCTGAGCTATAAAGCAATCTGAGAAGGTTGCTACTTGTGCTGGGCTGGGAAATTCCCCAGCAAAGCCAAACTGTGAAACTAAACTGGCTGCTTCTAGTGCCCTGGCCTGGAGCTCAGTGAGGCCAGCTGTTACTTGTTTGATAGGATTTAGGAAGTTATAAAGCAGCCATTCATATGGAAAAGCAAGATGGGTGGGCCCAAAAGCTGAAAGGAGGGGAGTCTGTGGGGATTCTGGAGATCTCCAAGGTAGGTCAAACAGTATTAGCCTAGTTGATAGTCTCAAATATGGCACCAGCCTGCAGGTTCTGTGGCTGTATAGCGGGAATGCTCAGAAAAGGGACAATGTCCTCTGCTTGCCCCAATGCCAGACACTTCAGCCTCTCCCACTATGCCACTGCTGCCCTTCAAGCTGCCACCCCAGCTTTTGGTGTTGGGCTGGGACTCCTCACTCCCTAGATATCCCTGACGAATTTTTATCCACCACACATGGATATGGGACCAGCACATTCCTCATCTTCGCCCCTCCAACAAGACTGGATGGATGTGGTTTCTGTAATTCCATAGTTGTCAGACTTCCATTCAACTCAATTTCTGATAGTTCTGAGTGGTGGTTGTTCTATAGTTTAGTGGTAATTTTGATGTGGTTGTGTGGAGAGGTGAACCATGTTTACCTATGCCACTGTCTTAACTGGAAGTCCCCCACATTTGTCTTAATATATCTTTTGTTGTCATCTCATATTTTTTTTCTGGAATGACGAGAGATTTAAATAACTGAAGTTAAAACAGAGATATGGCTTCCGGTCAAGAGTGCTGGACAGCACAGCAAGGCTGGAGGACATTTAAGATAATGTATCCAAACCCCTAATTTCAGAAACTGGAAAACTGAAGTCCAAAAAAAAGTGAGTTGCTCAAGTCAAATAGCTATTTCAAGGCAAAAAAAAAATAATAATAATAATAGGTGCACATTGGAGCACCTATTTCTGATATTTTTACCCTTGACATTGGCATATTTAAACAATCCCTATACTTCTTATTGCCTACTGGACCTTGATCAAGTACTAAGAAACTGTTCTGTTTATGGGTGAAAGAATAATGAATCACAGTGAATTTTTCACTGTGTCCAGTGACTACAGTATTCAGCCTTGAATTAGTAAATATATGTGCCTAGGGTCTCTGTTATGGGCCAATTACAAAAGGTGAAGGTTTCCTGGACCCAATTCCAATGTGTATGCATACCAAGAATTTTCAGACACCATTACAGGTCCAAGAATTCAACTCAAATCTGACATGATCTCCTGGAAATAGCATCAGATTCCACAGTTTCAGGGTATAGTCCTACAAGACTGCACCCTCGCACATTTCAGAGACCTGCAAGCCATGGCTCTTACCTGTGCTTCTGACCAACTGGCTATAGACTGGATGTTCCAACAACCCCCTCCAACTCAGAATGCCAACTGTAAGTCCAGGTTGTCACCTATACTTCCAAGCAACTGGCTATAAGTCAGAGGTTCCCACAATCCCTCCTTGGATTCTATTAATTTGTTAGAATAGCTTACAGAACTCAGAGAAACATGTTCCTTACTAAGTCATTGGTTTATTGTAAAAGGATACAACCTGGGAACAGCCACAAGAAAGAGGTGCACAGGCAAGGCATGGAGAAAGGGCAGGGAGCTTCCACGCCCTCTCCAGGCTCGCTGCTCTCTCGGAATCTCCGTGTGTTCACCCACCCGGAAGCTCTCTTAACCCTGTCATCCTGGGCTCTTATGGAGGATTTATCACATGGTCATTCATGACTGACTGGGTCACTGGCCACTGATGATTGATTAAATCTCCAGCACCTCTCCCTTCCTGATAGATGTGGATGAGGGGTGTATGTGTGGGGGTGTGTGTGGGGAGACAACCAACTCAAAGTCCCAACCCCCTGATAACAGGGTTGTCTCCTGGCAACCAGCTGCCACCCCTAGGTGCTTTCCAAGAGTCACCTCATTTGCAAAACATAAGACACCTTTATCAGTCTCAACACTGGGAACATATCAAAGGTTTCAGGATCTGTGAGTCAGGAATTGTGGAAGACCAAACACAGGGGTGGGCAAAAGTAGGTTCATAATAATACATACCAATAATACAATAATTAATGAATAAATAACAATACAAGAGAAAAGAGTTTTGCATACTCACAACTGTAAACCTCCTTTTGCCCAGCTATGTCTATATGGGAAATATATTTTGGTCATTTTTATAAATCACATTAATGTACACATTATGCAGTAATTTTCCTAGAGATGAAAATTTATTAATTTTTTTCAAAGCTTTAATGTATATTTCTCCTTAATTACCTGGTACTGGCAGTATCCTAATTTCTCCTTTTGACAAGGATATAAATACAAAAAGCATAATAGTACAAATTGGCCAACCATGGCCTATTGGCTTCATGTGCTTCCCATGGAAAAAAAGTAAAGACTTTATTGCTTGAAATGAAGTTATACTTAAAAGTAGCAATATCTATCCTGAAAGAATTAAATGCCACTATAATATCGAGGTGCAGGAAGATGTTCTAGTAAGTCAGCAATGAAACTAGAATGTGCTCATAGCAACCAAGCAGCTCTATGGATGGGACTGAAAACTTGGCTTTAGTTCGGATCTGCCAAAGACGGGGTCATTTACATTTAATGTCTAAATATAGTTTTCAAATAAAAAGGCAAGAATATCTTATCATGTAGAAAACAATAATAATTTTTGCTAGATTAATCAAGAGTGGCAAAATTATACAATTTGTCAATTTCATTCTGTTTAACAAAAGAGTACTAAAATCCTCAAGAAAATTTCTGTGGCCTTTCCCTGATGGTCCTGCTGAATGTCTCTGCTTTCGGCCAAACTGAGTAATTTTGTCAAAATGGTAACACTTCAAAACAAAAATGACAAAAAATTTCTGACTAATTTTAAACAATGGCCATACTGTACCCTAGAAGGGCACTATACTAAAGCTTGCAATCCTAAAAATATCTGTGTGATATTCTACAGGAAAAATGGTCATATTAATTTTACTTTTCTGGATACCCTAGAAAACACTTCAACATGAACTAATAATAATTAAGTAAACTGAGTTAATCATTTGTAACATATTCATCTCTAAACAGTTCATACATACCAGATGCTTTCAGAATTTTTGGACCCAAAGGAGAGGAAAGACTGAACCAATGCACATTATCATTGATGATAATTTTGTGCCACTAATAATGAGGTATTAAAAGTGGCAATAAAAGATAAATGTAAAATTTCTAAAGTAATATGCAACAAGAAAATCATTACCTGGCCTGGAACAATAGTATGTGTGAAAAGTTTATTTAGTTCCACTAATTTATTGGGAGTGATGTTAAACTTCAGTGCTATGGAGTTCAGAGTGTCCTGGCTTCCAGCCTAGAAATAATCCAACAAACAAGATTCAATATATAAAGCAAAGCAAAGCAAAACAAATTCCTTTGGATACACAGCATTAACCTATTTGTGATAAGAATGAATAAAAAAGTAATACATACATCTATATATGTATTAAGAGAAAGAGTAAACACATGCTCAATTCTTAAGAGAAAAACTTTTAAAGGTTATTCATTTTCTGGCCTCCTTCATCTTTAATTCCACTGTTCACTAAGAGATTTCTAAACTTACTCTGGCAGAACTCTGGTGTATGGACTAGAGGTCCATGTGGCATAACAAAAAACTGTAAGAAGAAAAGAAATAAAACATACACACAGTCCTACCCACAGGGGATGAGGCAACTTTCTCTCTCTGCCATTTTCTGCCTACCTGCCTGTCTCTTCACTGCTCTACAGACTACTGGATGGCGACTTGTTAATGACCATTTCCTCCCACAGTGCCTGACACAGAGAAGGTACTCAAAGATTTGATGAATGAATACAGTCAAAAGCTGAAAGAAATCTAGGTTAGCTACCAATATTTGTTCACTGTCATTAAAAATGACAACTTCCTTAAGAGAGGAGGGGTGGCTGGATGAAAGAAGGTGAAGGGATTAGCCAAAGAACACATATGCATAAATTATAGACAAAGACAACAGTGTGGTGATGGCCAGAGGGAAGCAGGGGCAGGGCCTGGGTGGAGGAGGGCAAAGAGGGGGGATGGGGATGTCTGTAATAGTGTCAACCATACAAAAATAAAGTAAAATACAATAAAATGAAAATCAACCAATCAATCAATCACAGTAAAAAAATGACAACATCCTATGACCAGCTAAATCAGTGGTATTCCATGAATCTATAAAACTTCTGATCTATGTTGTAAGTGCATACGTTTCTTTTCTCTCTAACAGAACAGCAGTAAAGAGGGCAGTGAGAAAATGTGAAAATCCATAGTAAAAAAGCGCCTCCCAAAAAGAAGTAGGAATCTTCTGGTCAGGTCAATATCCCAGGAGAGATTCCCTGGCCAGGATCACTGAATGGAACTTGTTAGCAGGACACTACACTGGTGAACGTAGATGGGTACCAGGAAGTTCCCATCTATAGCTCATGGTCAAGACTGGTGGCTGACCCATAAACACAACTATCTCCACAAGGTGAGCCTTGAAGTAGGCAGAGATTTGAGATGGCTGTGGGAGACTGTGAGCGCGTGAACAGAATTAAATTCACCACTGCCCTCATATCAAAAACGCACCCCCTAGATGGACTGTCTCAGGCTAACCAGGTCATAGTTATAGGTTACACTAAAATTACCTTAGAGCATTCCTAAAAGAAGTTAGGATATAAATACATATTTTCAAAAATCATTGAAAACAATATATGCTCCAGCCTCTACCCTGAGCAACACTATCTACACTAAAAATGAAAAAAAAATTAAATATATATTTTTTAATATTATTTACATAATATGGGATGAGCAAAAGTAGGTCTCCAGTTGTAAGTGAAGCACAGAGTTTATTCTTGTATTATTATTTAGTAATTATTGTTTTATTTATTTGTAGTACAACTGTAAACCTACCTTTACCCACTCCTATATGTTCAAATCAGGGATTTTTAGAATTTGGAATCAGTATAAGACACAGATTGAGAATACAGACTAGAGTCAGACTGTTGGCTCTGAATGCCAGATCTTCCACTTGCTAGCTGTGTGACCAGGGGTCATTTGCTTATCCTTTCTGGGTCTTAGTTTCTTTACCCGTCAAATAGAGATAATCATAATTTCTGCTCAACAGCACTTACTTCATGGGAAGTGATCCCTAAAGTCACTTCATGTTTTTATTTGAAAACCTGTACAAGATACTGTGTATAGAGAGTTAAGGAAAGGAGAAATTTTATCAATCTAGAATTATGAAATAAGGATAAGACATACATTGAGAACCGAGTCACAGACCCTGGGAAGGATTCTGATATAGTTAAATGTTCAAAATTTATCCGAAGGCTTGACTATCTACAACTCAGGAGCAATATGAGCAATCTCATAAGAGCTAGCGTGGTTCTCTAAACGTGAACTCACGAATCACTTTTTATTTCCAATAAAGTACACAAAATAACTTGTTAAGTTAAAACTAATCTCCTTAACATATATCAAACAGGTGGGCATTTCTGCATTACTAATTTTACCACCTGTTGATATGAATTAATTTGGGAGTTGATTTTTACCCTCACTGCATTGTTTAGTATCCGCTACAGAAGCATCTCCTAGCAAATAATACTTCTCATTTCTTTGTGGAGCTTGTGGATGCATAAATAGCTTTAGACTATTGTCATTAATAACAAATATTCCAACACTTCATGAGTACCTACTATGAGGTAAGGCACTATGCTAGGCATTATGGGATCAATAAGAAACATATTGTAATAACAGTGGTAATGTGAGATATACGAGGGGGGGAACTAGAATTATCTTCTGGAGGGTAGGCCCGTGTAGTACAGGCTTCCCCTGCTAGGCGAGTGTCCTAGGAACCTACCTGCATCAGTGCGCCAGCTGGTGGTGTTGTGAGAGGCTGTATTTGGCTTCCGTGATTTTTTTTTTAAGATGCTTTCAACCCATTTGTCTATTTCAAGATGGGTGACTTATTAGCACACCTGCCCACATCATGCTAGCGTGTTCAGCAGTTTTTGACCAAAATACCCATACACCACCCGCCCAATTCACCCGATTTCATCCTGAGCAACTTTTTTTGTTTCCCTGAATGAATAAAGTCCTCAGAGGGAAATGTTTTGCCAGTGTTCAAGAGGTGAAAAAAAGATGGCAGAAGCGTTAAAGGCTTCAAAATTGATGGTTCAAAAACTGTTCTGAACAGTGGAAAAAATGCCTCAATAGGTGTACTGCATTAAATGGAGAGTACTTTGAAGGTGACTGAAGATTAAACATTTAAGAATAAATACACAATTTTTTAATAAATAAATTCTGGGTTTTTTGGGTCTCCCCCTTGTATAATCATCCCAAATCCTTTCTGCAAAGGACTAGGCCTACACACCACAGAAAGATGTTTACAGATGTTCATGGAGCACTGAGTAGGAAATGCCTGCGCGAGGACTCTTCCCTATGACTCTACAGAGGCCTGGAGCAGATTTGCCACTCCAGAGGGACCACCAGGGAGGGAGTGGGTGTTGCTGCTTGCCTTACACAGAGCCTGGGGTGCACACACAAAGTCAGTGGAAAGTAAATACACAAGAGAAGGACAAAACCAGGCAATGGCAACAGCACTTAATTTCTTCTTAGAAGTCACAACACTCCACAACAGTGCTATTTCAACATGAACTAAAACAGATCTATGATGGAGTCGCCCACATCATGCCAGGCCTAGAATAAACAGACACGGCCCCTGGCTTCGAGGAGCTCACGGTGCAGTGAGAGTGACGAACACATGCCACATAATGTGGAGGTGCCGTAATGAACACCTGCACAGCGTTATTCAGCCACTGATTCACCAGTACAAGTCTGCACCCTGTGAGCGCCAGCAATGCAATGGTGGCTGCAAAGGGGTCTAGTGTCTATTCATGGATGTACGAATCAAGGCACAAGAGAGATATTAAAATAACAATCACACTAGTGAATCAATGTTAAACTCAGATAAATTATGTAAAGGAACATGATACTGTGAGAGAATGAAACGAAGAGAGATCTGGCTTAGACTTGCTGGATGATTACAAAAGTTAAGGGTGCACATAAAGAGTAATGGGAAGATATTAAGGATAGATTCTGGCTTACAGAAAGGTATGGGTGATGGAGCCGTTGCTTCTTTAAAAAAGACCAAGGGTGACGGTCTAAGTAGATATGTCTAAGTAGAAGTCAACTGAATCTCTGGTTCTGGAACTCAGAAAGCATGTCTGGGATGGAGACCTACCATTGGTTGTCATTGGCATATCATAGGTAATCCAAATCACGGGTTTACATGAGATTGCCCAGGGAGAAAATATGGAGGGAAGACAATGACTTAGAACAGGTCTTAAGGAGCTTCACTGTACTGGATACATAAGGGAATGCAGCGAAGAGGCAGCCTGTGTCAGGAGAAATATTATGTAAATCTAGAGTATTAATAAACATTCATCCTTCCTGTTTATACTTACAGTGTATTCCACAGTACCATGGGGCTTCTGAACCACCATCTTCTTCTCCTTTTTATCATGTGTTTTGTTTTGATTGTCATCTGAAGAATAAAAATGTATGTAAATGAATAACTTAATTTTAGGAATTGAGGATAGGGTAATCTACAGTATATTAAAGCCCACTTTCAAATGGACTATGAAAAAAAGACAACAAAATAAAATGGGCTAAGAGCATAAATAGATCCTCCTTCTAAAAAAACATAGTATTCATCAATGAACACCTGAATAAATGATTGTTAACTGTAATAAAATAGTACAAATAACAATGAGGTAGTTTTATAGTTATTAAAATAATAGGTTAAATGATAATATTTAATGAAGAAGTTAAAGAGTAAAACTAGCACAGTTACGATACAAATAATGTAAATAAGTACATCCATTTTAGAAAGTGATTTCTTAACATAACAATAACCATAAAAATGTCCATTCTTTGACATTCTTTCCTTTTGGAATTTATCCCAAAGAAAAATTCAAAAGAAGAAAAATATGTCATAGTATATGGTTACTGCTGTTTTTATAGAACAAAACTGGTCATCTTAGTAGTTTGCAAGCTGCATATGATTCAACCTAAATGTTATGATTAAATACATCTTAATATTATTATCCCAGATGTTGAAAACCAGAGAGACATATCGCAATAGATAAAAACTTAAGTGAAAAAAATACAAAATTGAATTAACTATGAAAAGATGCTCTAACTTGTATGTAATCATAAAGATGCAAATTAAGGTGAGGTATCATTTTATACCTATCAGCATGGCAAAAATGAAAAAGATGGATAATTTCTAGTGTTCACAGAGATGTGAATTACTACTAGGAATATAAACTGGTACAGCTATTCCAGCAAATCAAGCATATTTGTAGACTGTATGACTCAACATTCTAACTCAGATATATATCCACTCCCAAAAGGTCTACACTTTATGTACATCATAAAGTGACCTGCTTGAGGATGTCCACACCAGTGTCATCTATAGCACAGCTTAAGGGTAAGAAAATGTGGTAGACGTACTCTAGAATTATAGGCAGTAATTAGAAATAACAAGACAGAAGTATACACTGCAACACGTTTACACCAAGAGAAACAGAATGGGATGTATAAAACAATATCATTATGTATAGGTAAAGGAGAGGCACACAAAACAGCTATACACATTTTTCAAGGCCATATCACAGTACAAGTCTGTACATGCTGGACACAACAGAATGGTGTGTGGTGGAGGGAGAAATGGGATTGAAGGGGAGGATAAAAGGGAATTAATGAATTCATAACAAGGAGCCCAGCCCAGACCGGATATGACATTCCGCGAGCTGAGAAGTGTGATTAATTCAGCCCTCTACAGCCGAGGTCCTACACACCCCCATGCCAGTCACCGACCTGACAAACACGGGTGCACTGGATGAGAACTGGAAGGTAACACAAAAACATGAAAATAGTTCATTCCTATGAGATTTATCTGCCTTTTCAACGTTTCCTTTATGTTATTCAAAATTAAAAACCAAGAAAAAAGTAATAGATGCTGCCATCAGAGTCCTTTACTACTTATTTGTATGTTTAATCAGGCCCATTCATAGAACCAAAGAAGCTGTCAAAATCCCTCCAGGTGGTAAAAACAGGACCTGCCTACCCTCCTGCGGCTGCACTTCTAAATTACTTCAGAAAGATGACACTACAGGCTGTGCTTTTTGGGTCTTCATTCTGCAGACTGGGAGAGTCTACACAGCCTATTCAAAACCCCGTATCACAGGGATCTGAAGGATCACCCCGTTTAATTCCCAGCTCCACTCTCTCTGTCCCACACTCCTGTCTTTCTCATTGTCACCACAAATAGCTGTCACTTCTGGTCTTCTTGCTTTCAGAGGAGTCTCTTCATAAGCTTCCGTAAGTGCTTCCTCTTTCTGGAGTCTAAGCTTCCTCTTCCCTCCAGTGGCAGCTTCTCCCCCACGCCCCTTCACAGGTTGTGATAATGACCTCTGGTCCCCGTGGGAGCACTGCTTTAAGCCACCAAAACATGAGAGTTTCCATATTGCTCAGCTGCAGAAGAAAAACAAGTGCTAGTCGAACCTTCCAAAATAAACTTTAACGATGTGCATCTGAAGTAGGAAAAATTATTTTCCTTTGGCAGAGGTGGGTAGGCCAGAAAAATGTCAAACTTGGTAATATTACTAAAATAAAAAATAAAACCCTTCCTTCCAGAGCCTAAGAGTTTGAAATTCTTGAGGCAAGGACCATGATGTACCTATCTTTAAAGCTCATATGCCTTAATAAGATATCTAGTATATATACCTGAATAAACTTCCCAATATAAATCAAGGAGACCAACAAGTTTGACTGTCAGCGACATTTTCACTGGTAGAACATCACACCAGGAAAACCATACGAATCAAAGTCACAAAAAGAATACTGTGTTTTACAGCTGACTTAGTATAGAAAGCAGAGAATTGGCACATTCTAAGGACAAATTCAATTGTCTTCATATCATTACAGCACAAGGTAAGGTTTCATACTGCTTCCTCAATACTTTTTAAAGATTTTATTTATTTATTTATTTTTAGAAAGAGAGGAAGGGAGAAAGAAAGAGTGAGAACATCAATGTGCAAGAGAAACATTGATTGGTTACCCCTTACATACCCCCAACCAGGGACCTAGGCTACAACCCAGGCATGTGCCCTAATTGGAAATTCAACCCAACCAGAGACCTTTTGGTTTGCAGAATGATGCCCAAGCTACTGAGCCACACCAGTCAGGGCTCCTAAATATTCTGCAATAAATTTTAAAGAGAGCCAACATTGTGTCTCAATAAGTGAAGTCCTGTATACCTTACCTAGCTGGGTTCTGCAATACATAGTCCACACAGCACTGGAGAGAGCTGGGAAGAGTCCCAAGCTACCTCAGGAAAGGGCTACTCTGCTGCGCTTCTGGATGGAGGTCTCATGTTCCAGATGAGAACCCATGACCATCCCCCAGGATGGAACTAGAGGACCAAAGACTATCCCCTAGGATGGAAGTAGAGGACCCATAACCATTCCCTAGATGAAAGCAGAGGACCCATGACCACCCCCAGGATGGAACTAGACGACTCATGACCATCCCCTTGGATGGAACTAGAGGACCAAAGACTATCCCCTAGGATGGGACTAGAGGACCCATGACCACCCCCAGGATGGAACTAGAGGACCCATGAACACCCCCAGGATGGAACTATTTTCCAATGACACATGTTGAACATGTTGACATCTCTGCTTCCCGCTTTAGGCCTCCTCAGGCCTTTTGTACCTATTCAAGTTCTAACCCGCTCCCTGCTTACAGGAAGCTGAAGCAAATAATTTAAAAGAATGTGCTGCCAGAGGGGAAGGTTGGCCAGGTGTTCTGCAAACGCCATTCACAGCAAAGCATCTGAACCTTCTACCTGCCCCACCTCTGAAGTCTTCAGTGCCAGTTTTTCTCAATCTAATAAGGAAGCAAGTCTTACGAAATTGACAAATACCCTGGAGGAAAGAAATACAGGTCCTTCAGCCTGGCCTGTTTCATTTCTCATAAATTCTGGAGGTGCAGGATAAAATGGGGAGGGGGCCTTTGCTGACCTCAGCCCCAGTGGGTCTGGCGCCCCGCCCACAAGTCCTGCTTCCTCCCTTCCCATTCCAGACAAGGGACAAAGATGCAAGGTTCTTAACTCCTGCATCTGAGTCCTAGGTACACGTTTCCGGAAAGAAGACTTCTCTCTGTGCATTGGAGCTAAAAGAACTTGATATTCAGGTATATTCTGGGGGCCTGGAGAGGCCTGCAGGCTGGATGTGAAGGAATCCTTTGCAGTGGTGATCTGTGAAGTCTTGAATGAGGTTACAGCTGCCAAAGGAATACATTTTAAGAGAAGATCTAAGGTTTGAGAACCAAACCAAAGGAAGGCTTAGATGTGGGGAGTAAAAAGAAGTATGTCTGGGGAGGGGGTGGGATTAAAAGGAGAGGAGAATGAGTGTAATGTCACAGATGCCCTGGAAAAAGTTAAAGGAAGATCGCTTTGACACCGTCAAATGCAGCACGGAGGGTGAGAGATGGAAACCTGGAAATGGGTAAGTGGGAGGCCAGAGAGAGCTCCTGAGGTCAAAAGCACAGGGATCTCAAGACATGGTGTTAGCCCTATCAGTAAAGTAGCGATACGGTCATTTCCTAAAATGTAATGGGGTAAAGACAGGATTGGGGGTGCTTGAGGGGTTGTGTAATTTGGAAGAGTTACTATGGCAAAGATAAGGTTTCCATAATGTGAATATTGAGGGAAGCAGTAATAAGGGTTCACCCAGGGGTGGGGTATCAACACCAGGGTGACAGGCCATGTAAGGAAGAAGCAAATACCCTGCTGTCATGGCTAACTGTGGGGTTTATGACATGCAGGCAGGGCAGCTGCAGCTAGAGCCGTGGTGAGGGAGGAGCACTGAGGTGCTGGAGTTAAGAGTGTGGCATGATGCATTAGTTTCCTATTGTTAATGTAACGACTTTAATGGGCTCAAATTTAGTGAGCTCAAAATGAAAAATAAACACAAATTTATCATTTTAGTTCTGTAGGTTCCAAGTCTGGCAAATCTCACTGGGCTAAAATCACCACGTCAGCAGTCAGTTTCTTCTTGAGGCTCTAGGGAAAGATTAGTTTCCTTTTCAAACTCCTAGAAGTAGGCTACTTTCCTTGGCTCAATGTCCCTTCCTTTATCTGCAAAGCCAGCAACGTCAAGCCACGTCTTCTCACACAACCATTTCTCCATTTCTCTCTCTCCTGCCACCCTCTTTCATTTTTAAGAACCCTATGTTTAGCCCTGGCCTGTGTGGCTCTGTTGGTTGGGCCTCATCCAGCAAACTGAAAAGTTGCCAGGTCGATTCCTAGTCAAGGCACCCAGCTGGTTGTAGGTTCAGTCCCCCTCAGGGCGTGTGCAGAAGGCAACCGATCAATGTTTCTCTCTCACATTGATGTTTCTTGCCCTCTTTCTCTCTTCCTTCCCTTTTGCTAAAATCAATGAAAGAGAGAAAGAAAGAGAGAGAGAGAGAGAAAGG